GTGGAAGGCTAGCTCAATGCTCATACCGAGAAGCGATGCTTCGTAGGTGGGTGGATACCTAGATGGCGAGTCCGGGGTCGCATTGTTCACCGGCGCGTAGCGGTCCCGTGTTTCTCAAGGAACGTGTTGTACCTCTCGTAGAACGTAGTGGAGCTACCGTGCGTCGGCAGTAGGGCGGGGAAGCAGTGCGGCACGCCACCGTAGCAGTGCATCTCCACGTCAACGTCGGCGGCCTCAAGGGCCTCGCTATAGGCTAAGCCCATGTCACGAAAGATATCTACGCCGGCGGATTGCATCACTGGAGGACGAAGCCGGACCGGGGGCCCCACTTGTTAGTTCGCGGGCTGAACGCGGAGCGGTGTCGGGTGAGATTGCAGCTGAGGATCTAGGTACTTACGTGCTGGCGGGAGCCCGGCGAGAGAGGTGGCCAGGAGCGGCGAGTGCCGGTAGTCGGGCTCGAGGTCGGGCAGGTAGGCGCGAGAGAAGGCCTCGTAGCGGCGGTCGCTGAGAACACAGTTTTCTGCGTCCTGGATGTAACTGCCGAACTCATACTTCTCACTCGGGAAGAACTTGGGGTGGCAAAGGGCAGCAAAGTGCAGCACCTGAGCGACGAGGCCGCTCACGCCGTCGTCTCGGGCTAGAATGGCTAGGACGGCGGCCTTGACATGTTAGCGCCGTTCCCTGGGTTTGTCTACAGTCTGGTAGAATTGCTGTGTCGGGGGCGGGAAGATTCAAGAGAAAACAACGCACTAGGTTTGCGCCGGCACTGCTCCCTGATAGAATGATTCTCTCCGGGTTGACGCCGAGAGTCTCTGCGTTCTTCTTGCACTGAAAAGCAGGGACACGTTAGTGAGATTACTCGACGCGAAAAGAAAGAAAGAACGGAGCAGGCTGAGCACAAACCCATAATAAGCCGTCGTAGCTATCCTCGAGTGGGATTGGGAAGGGATGCTCGGGCGCTCTTTGCGATGTCATTAGCAAGTTTCCTGTCGAAGGAATGCCATGTTCAGGAAGTCCGAAGAAGTACACATACAAGCGATAGTCTACGCTGACAACAACAATGTTTGGGTTGGTGGCGGCATACACGTTCTCAACGCCGTCTGTCTCGTGTCCTCCGACGCAAAAACCTGGATAGGGATCGGGTCAGCTTGTGATTCCGTGTTGGAGAGAGAAGGGGTTTGCCGTACCTCCGCCGTGCATTCGGTACATGAGCGTCGCGTTCGGCAATACATTCGGAGATTTGTACACCTTCAACTCCACCAAATGACCGTCGCGTGCCGGGAAGTGTAACAGCTCGGTCTTCACATCCCGGTACCGGTCGGGCCCACCAGGCGGCATGACGGCATCCGCGGAACCGGCTTTCCGGCGGAAAGTGGGGAGGTCGGGGAGGTTCCAGAAGGTATCGTAAGCAGCGCCGAGAGCGGCTTCGACGGCCGCAAACTCGGGAGTCTTCTCGGAGAGATGACCGTATTTGGGCAAGGGTTTGAAATGGGGATCCGCATCGACGTACTCGGACTTTTCTCTGACGTCAATCATGGTGGGTGTTTGTTGGTATCCCTTGTTCTGTTCCACTTGTGATCCTTGTGGGATCGTAAGTCGTCGGTTGGCTTGCTAGGGGTTGCGATACTGATGGTGTTTTAAGTCCAACTGCGCGCAACCCCGGGTTCTTATAGAAAATTTGTAGTCTGCATCTCGATGTCATATGAGGAAGACCAAGTGAGGTTCTGCAGTCAAGCGATACGTTTGACATCCCCATCCCGTCGCATTGGGGAATACGGCACCATTAACCCTGGAGTCGTATTCCGATGTGGTATCACAGCACATCTTGTTGACCATAACGGGGCAGTGTTGTGAGCATGAAAACTCGCGCTCTCCGTTTGGCGTGTAGGGCTTACCCAGGATAGATGTTCCGCATTGATATTCCTTTTTTGGGGATGGTCAATTCAATTGTCACTTTGGGAGAATTCTACTACCAATCAGAGATCAACGCAGAACACGATTGGAAGGGAAGGAGACAAATGACCGTATGTATGTATTGTACACGAAAAGCTGAGTTGCGTTTCTGCTGAGTAATTGAAAGGTGTGTAACCATGATGAATCATAGTGAGCTAAACCATTTCAGGCTAAACGTGGTATCTAAGCGGCTTACTGTGATTAACCTCTTTGGACAACGACAAGTTGTTATCTAGACTATCTAGGTTAGAATGTACAGAGTGTCTCACGACTGTGTCGTTAAGGATTCCACGTTTTGTGATCCCATCGCAGTGACACTTTGAACGCTTGTCATTAAACTTTTTCTTCACCTTACCTAGACTAACTTGGCGATTAACATCCTTATTCGAATTCCCAAGAAAGCAGTAACGCGCAGTCTCGAAATGCTCCGCCTCATCGTTATACACTTTGCTTTGCTACAGAGAAATGATATACTAATATACGTTGTTACTTTGTACTGCAGTCCGTAGGTATGTTGATAAACCAAGTGGACTTCGGTGCTGCCGACTAGATAGCGAGTCCTGGCCAAAAGGGGGCTGAGGGAGAAACAACCATAAGCCATCATTATGAGCCATCTCTATGAATCATAATAATCAATCGAATGCGTCGAAATCGCAATGAACAGGATTATCAAGTCTGTATAATGTACAGATAAAAGTTCTCACAATGTGTCGCGAAACGTTACTTATAGAGAGGGCATCACGATCGCTTTACGAGGGTTCTCACAGTACCACCTTCACGACAACGCTCACCAGCAACATCCCTCACGATTCTTTCGCAATACTTCCCGGACACTGCGTATCTCAACACCTCGATTGAGCCAGGATGACTCGCGAGTTTGCTCTACCCAAATCGGCCACCGGGCTCCGTGTAGTGCCCGAGTCTCGACTGGACCTCCGTCCCGAGGCCGAAATCGTCGAGGCACTCCGCTCTTTCCGACCCGTCACGTCGGAGAAGAACGTGTGGTGTTTCTGGGACAAGGGTCTTGACAAGATGTACCCCAGCTACCGCCACACCGTCCTGAATTGGGTGAGGAAACTCGGGCGCGACTGGACCGTCCGCATCGTCGATCTCATCGACGGCTCGCCCAACCATATCTACAACTACGTCGGCGAAGAATGTTTCCCCGACTGTTTCGTGCAGCGAACCATGGATGGCCCGCACGCAGCGCAGCACGCCGCCGATCTCGTGCGCCTCCCATTGCTGTTCGAGCACGGCGGTGTCTGGATGGATGTCGGCAACATGCTGCATACGCATCTCGACGAGCTATTCTGGGATGCCCTGACGGGATCGGACTCGCCCTACGAGATGGCCGTGTGGATCATCCCGATCAGGAAGCAATGGGGTAGTTTCAGCAACTACACAATAGCGGCACGAAAGGGTTGCGTCTTCATTAAAAACTGGCATGATTCCTACAAAGAGCTATGGCGCGGGCGGACTAACGCAACGGGATTCCACGAATTGCCGCTTATCCGCGATATCGGGCTCGCCGAGGGTATGGCCGACTGGGGTTTCCGGGATAAGATAGTCGAGATGAGCGACTACGTCGCGCAGATGCTCATGGGCGACCGCACCAAGAACCTACTCGATGTCCGCACGGGGTGGAACGGGCGCGAGTTCTGGGAAAACAGGGTGTTCATGGTGGAGGGCGTTTACAACGGGATACTCGGCTCCATCCGGTCTGGCTACGACGGCCACCGGCAGGCTGAACTCTTCACGACGCCGCTCGACGATCCGGACGAGAGTAAGAGGCTGGCGGCAGAGGCCTTTGTGGTCGAGATGCTGGAGAAGAGCCATATTTACAAGGTGTACCATAACTCGACCGGCGGGCGACCGGCGCTGGGAGACGTGGTAAAGAAGGCAGGCTTTCTGGATGCTGATCACCGACCAGGTACATACGGCGAGCTTTACCGGTATGGGACCGTGCATTGGGCGTCGACCCGTGGGGTAGAATGCTTAGTACCCCAGCCGACGGATGAGGAGTTGATTCTGGCTACGCCTACGACGGCGTCTGCGCAGCAGAACAAGGACCACAAGGAGTAGATTTAGTCGCTCGATACTATTATAGATATAGCATGTTCTTTATAGACGCGGGCTTATCAGAGGGAGCGTAAGAAGTAAAAAGAACGGAAATAGAGGTCCAATTGAAATCATAAATCCAATCACATCAGTGTGCTTGTAATAACGCAGGCCATCTGTCTACCGGCAAGTCAATAGGTCAATACGAAAAAAAGCAACAACAAAGAAAACCAAAAAAAAAGATCAAACGGCAAAAGTAAAACCGATAAGTGTTAGGCGGCAAAAAAAAGAAAGCTCTCCTGAGGGTGACTCGAACACCCGACCTGTGGATCTCTAAGGAAATTTCAATTACAGTCCAACGCGCTACCAACTGTGCCATCAGGAGCTTGTGCCGGTATCCAAGTGTATTCGGAGTTAGATAGTGCCGGTTCAGGATGACTAAGCTGTGAATGGGAGATGTTAATTGGCGTCCAGCCAACTCGCGCACGACCCACGTCCGGATTCCTTCGTCATGCGCGAGGGCGAACGAAGCCCACCGAAAAGAAGTTGCAACCCATCCCGGGCCATCTATGATCTCAGACCAGTTTCAACCATCCCATATCCATCCTTCCGTGGTGTCACGGTCCCACCACACTGTAACATTCGGCCATAGACGGTAGGGTAGGACAGACAACCTTTACGGAAACTACACTGGTTAGCGCGCCTAAAGAATTAGCAATGGGGGTTTTTCGCAAAGAAGCCGCGGTCAATATCCGGGAAACCAGACCATTCCATTGCTAAAGTCAGACTAGGTCCCACCCAAGCAAGACCATCACCAATTAGAGGCCGGAGAATCGAAGCCAAAATCCTCTAGGTAACTATTCTTACTTACCGGCGAAATTACCTAAGCCGATCCCACTGCAAGTTTTTTTTTTTTCTTTCCCCTGGTTGGGACTATAAGAAACCCTAACAAGATGCCTTTACCATACAAGCAAACCGCCAAGCAAATATCCTCCGTGGCGCAATTGGCTAGCGCGTTCGACTGTTATGTTTCTTCTATCCTTGAAGGCAGGGCAATCGAGAGGTTGACAGTTCAAGCCTGTCCGGGGGAGGTTTAATTTCCATCTCTTGTCGTCTTTCTTATTCATTTCCTTGGAAAAGAGAGATCGTGGATAACTTCTTTTTTTTTCCTTCTTTTTCTTTTTTCTTTTTTCCTTTTGTTTTTTATGATTTGGTATCCTTTTGGTCCTTTCACCGAATCCTCGCTTACAGTCCCTCAACCTCTCTCTCTCTTCCCTTATCTATTATCCCGGAACCCCCCTCATCAATGCAGGACCTTCTTCACGACAGCTACATACGCCGCTGCGAGGTACGGTACTTTTTAATCAATACCGGGTATGGGCCCAGCGTCATGTTTTTTTTTTTTTTTTTTTTTTTTCCTGCGTACCTACCTTCCTTAGTCACGGAATCCCGTGTCTACATACTACCTACATACTACGGTTACGGTATTTCCATACATCCCTTATCCCAACAGGCGACACAAGACCCCATAAATCTACAGACCGATCAAGCAACACGACAGAAAGAGAACAATACCAAGCCAATAAGGCGAACCAAGGACCTCAATCAACTTTTTCCAGCCGAACCCCGTCTTCACAGCATAACCGCCCACCCCCCACTTCCTCCCCTCCCCCCTCCTCCAAAGCAAATCCCACGAAATAAACAAAACACATACTTTTCTTCTTTCCACATCACGCAGGGAACGAACAATTTAGGTAATTCCCGAATGCAACGTCAAAGGCAAAAAAAAAAAAAGAAAAAAAGTTCTTCTTCCCAACTTCAGCCCCCCCCCTCTTACCTACCGCATCAACCTTATTCCATACATGATGCAAGAACTCCTTCCACGTGCTTCCCGCAGCTCGTAATGATGCACTCATCACCTAGATATGTAGACAGTCACTCACTCAGCTTACGGGACTACCACCGCCCCCCTGGGTGCCCAACACTCCTAGAAACAAAGCCATTCACAGACCAAGTTGCAAATAAACCAGACACAATATAAATAGGAGACGCGGTGACATAGATGTAATACCTAAGCCGACACAAGAATCTATACGACGAAGCACAAAGCAGTAAAGAATCCCAGGAGAGGCTTCCGGGTAGAGACCGTAAGGCCACATCGTGGACTGGAGAAATACAACAGCTTTTTGTAGCAACAACAATATAAAACCCGTAGACCTAAACATTTCCTTCGCCCTCTTCTACGTAGGCCGAATTCCTAAGGAGGCTAAGGTAGGTCGTATACACAGTAGTAGTGCTGCACCCTCAAGAGGATATATTCCCAGAGTCTCTCTCTCTTCTCAGCCATAATCCCAGCCATTGCCCCAGTCTCGCCGCACAACAAACATACCAGATGATATCTGTGTAAGGTAGATGGGTTTCATAAACATTGGCCTCCAAAAAGCCCTCCATTTAGTGTCTTTTTTCTTGTTTTCCTTCCCTGGGAATCCGACTACGAAGAAGATCTTTCGCCTGCGGGGGTCCTTTCTCCTCCCTATTACTAAAAGACCGCCGGAGAAGTAAAATTTGGGTCCGTACGTAGTACGTCATTGTTGAGTAAATGCATGAATAGAAAAGAGAACAATCAAGGGGTATTGCTGCGGGTCTCGCACATTGGCGAGAAGTCCACGAAATTAGGTTAAAAGCCAGAGGTCGCTGAGCATGCGATATGACGGTTCACTTATGGAACAGAGGGCGGCCTTGCGAATCCTGTCGCAATGCCTAACGGCGTCGATTCACAGGGCTGCGATGCTTGAGTCGGCTGGTTCGCCAACCCTCGTACCATTGCTCGCGACTGGCCTCACGGAGTTCGCTGCGCCACTCGGAAAAGACGCAGTCCCTTAGACGAGTGAAGTCGCAGTGACCCGGATTGTAGGGGTTGGCCGTGCCCCAAGGAAATTTGCGATCAAGAGCACCGGGCTCATAGAGGTCCGGGCTGATAATGGACATGGGGAGCAGTGGTAGATCGTTAGCGCTATCCTCATTTGAGTTCTTAACTTGGCGGGATGACAAGTTCGATGCTCGCTTAGGGCTGGTGGGTGATCGTTCTGCACCTTCCTGAGTACTTCCATCACTATTCCCATCAAGCCCTCCCTGCCCGTTCTCGTACGCGGCAGACTTCTCAGCCTCCTCGGCCCTGATTTCGTCACTCTCATCAATTCTGCTAGAGTCGGGTGTAGATTCATCATCATCGTCCAAGTTCAATGCTTCCAAGGGGTCAAAGTTAGCCTTCTTGAGGCTAGACCAGACCGTCCTCTTAAGGAAATTCATATGCGATGTCGTGACAGTATCGGCTTTCGATATGACAGGAATCACCGTCGTCTTGCCCTGCAAGGTGCGCATAACCTGCAAGTCGAGATCTTCATCCAGACCACCAATAATGCGCCCGAGATCAATGCCGTGTTTCCCGCCATAGCTGACTCCGAGACCTACTTTGGCCGCGGCTACGTTACGATCGAGCCGAGCCGGGTCGAGAATGAGGAAGACGGCGTGGATGTGCGTATCCTGTACGCCCGGTGATCGAATCACCTTCATCTCCTCAGCAAACGTCTCCTCGAACTTTCCTTCCAAGAACGAAGACATCTCTCGTAATTGGAGGTCCACGACATTCTTCTCCAGACCCTCGGAATCCCATATAGTCAAGCCCACCCGTTCACCATCAATCTCACTCTCGAGGTAGTGAGGTATGAAGTTGCCCGACGGCGCCGCTCCGGAGGTGACTTCATGTTCAATCTCGGTTGATCGTTGAGATCTCTTCTTGGCAGGGAGGGCCAGAGATGTCTTGAGGAACTCGAGGAATGAGGTCTTGCCCGAGCCACGAGTGCCAATGATGAGAATGCTATAGATGAATTAATACCTCGGAGGAGTAGGATAGGGATATGAACGAGAACGCACTTGAAAGGAGTTGGATCTTTCCTTCTACGAACCCTTCTAGGGCTGTTAACAGTGCTGACGGCACTACTCGCATAACTGTATCGGCCACGGTTCGTCATACTTTCTGTACGGGGATAGGGATCGACCCAACCACCGCTAGGGACGGGTGGAACGGGCGGTATCGCGACGGAGGGCGACATAGACAGATGTCCAGGATCGAAAGAGTTGCGAATTGGATTGTCTTCAGCCGAATGATTTGTTTCTCCAGAGATTATGGCAACAGAGTCGGGACGAAGGTCGCCTCCGAAGGTTTGAAGAGGTTGAGGCCGGGAACCATTATAGAGGTCCGGCAGACGAGGCGGGGACTTGGGAACTTGTGGCTCTATCTGTTGCACACTCTTCCTTCCATGTCTAAGCTCGCCAGACTTACTGCGTCGAAGCAGATTGCCAAAGCTTGACCGACGGGGGGGACTGTGTTGACTCATCTTTCCGACGTAGCGATGCAAGCATGTAGGAGCTCAGGGTTCAATGCTAGGCAGGTGCGTTTCTCGGCGATACGACGACGGGAGGCGTGAAGTGCGTATACTAGGTCGTAAACAAGAAAGGGGCAGGCAGTACCGCTGCAGAGTGATAGCCAGGTAAACCTAATTAGAATCGGCGGGTATTTGAAGCAGGTACAGTGAGTTACAAGGTTGCGGAGGCTTGGATAAGAGGAGAAGCTCAAGAAGATCACAGCTGCGACCCGCTATACTGGGTTCCTTGAGCAGGGATGGCTCTGCCTGATAGAATCGATGGGTGTTTGGAATTAGTGCCGGACGATTACCAGACGCCCAGAAAGTTTTGATATGCAGGGGGGAACAGCGACCGGGTTTGATGAAGCTCGGTCAGTCCGTGTCGAAGAAAGTGGCCTGCCAACAGTGAGGTGAGAATGTCGAAAGCAAGTTCAACTGGCACAGTTTGGATTATAAATTATCGTTGCTTGCGCACGTGCAGTCATGTAGGTCGAATATTGATGATGTGCGTGTTTATCCCCTCGTTACTGCTGCTCTTGAGTGTAGAGATGGTCTGTACTGAGCAGGAAAGGGTGGTTGCAATGGCGAAACGCAGAGAATGACGATCCAACAAGACAATTTGACAATTTCGACAAGCAGTCAAGACCTAGAACCTTCCACGATACCATTGTCAGTCTATTTACCGGCAATTGCGCGATGGATGGAAATTAAAAAGATGTCTTTCAGGTCATCATGCATGCAGAATGTTAGATGACGAGGGGGGCAAAGAGACACAGCTGGTGGCTCGTAAGATACGCCAGCCTGGCGAGACAATGGTTCCGCCGGCCAGGTGAACATGCTCATCAAAGGCCCTGGTCTCGTCACAAAGTATCTTACCATCGGGACTGCAGCCCTGCAACTGACGGGAGACTCTTTGTGACGATCCTACTCGAATTGTGGAAAGCCCAAATGTAACTAAGTTGTAGAGAGCAGTACTAGGGAAGGTCGTATACCAAAGTTCAGCCTCCGCCTCCGCCTCCGCCTCCCAAGTCTAACCAATAAGTAAACCAATGAGTGGATGGGATGAGAGGAGGAAGTCTCCTTACTGTGCTGCAAACGCGCCGCGTCACATGCGGCTGGGAGCTAACTTGACGGGGAAGGCGGAGTGGTTTCAAGACTGGATCGCAAGAAGCTTTCGTTGCGCATAGCATACGAGAAAAGTGGAAAAGAGGTAGGGAGAGAAGGATGAGAGAAGGAGAGAGAGAGAAAGAGAGAGAGGGGACGGAAAGGAGGGCAGCTAACCTTGTTGAACAGTGGATCGTTCGTTTGCTGTCGGTGTCGGCGCAAGTCTGAGACAGGCGTGCCCTGCAATGTGGCAAGAGGCGCTGCTGTTTGTATCTGCCCAGACGGATGTCGGGACGGAAAACTATAATAAGGGAAGCTCCCTACCTGCTACACGTACGTGGGTGAGCGGTTGGGAACTCTGCATCGAGGAACACTGAGCACCACTGAGCACCACTGAGCAGAGGCGATTGCGGCCGGGGCGTTCGATTGGCTGCGTCGATTACGATGTCGCATGAAACGATCCCTCGGAAAGAAGTGAATCAAAAGAAAGACAGGACACCACCAGTGACGTACAATTAATGTGATAAAGTAAAGGAAAAAGAACGAGTGTCAGGCGGATTCAA